GAGTAAGGAGGTAAGTGGGCCAAAATGAGAAGGACTGGAAGTGTGTCCTGTCTGAGGGATACGGGAAGTAATTAAGTGCAATAAAAACTCATAGACCAAATTCAGACTCAGATTATACACTGTGAGAATTGGTACTGAAAGGAATCAGAACTAAACAAAATGCTTCATGATTGGCTGCTGTAATTCATTTCCTCTCTAGTCCAGTCCCCCCCGCCCCTTCTCCTTTACTGAAACCTCTGTTAAGAGCAGCAATTAGATTCTTCCCATGAAATAGAATTTTAAAAATTGTAATTAAAATACATAGATACATGTTTTATATGTAAAGTGCAAATTGCCAGATGCTACCATTTTCAGAGAATATTATATAGCTTTTGACATTGATAATTTGTAAGGAAATCTAGTCCTCTATAATGGATGAATTTCGTGAAAAATGAGAAGTGGACTGCGACCTTTATTTTTGCCAAGAAGCATGTACATGGGTTCGCAACGGAGTCACAGCAGTGTTATGCCGCGTGTATGTTTTTTAAGATTGCCTGGATGGCATGATATACTTAATGATAATTACCTGAAAAAGTTATTGCAAAAAATGTCTACTTAACTAGTTAATTTTTCAAGAAAGCAGAGCGACACTGTCATGTGAATTAATTTTATTATTTATATGAAAGTTTAGCTTTGCCACAATAGTGATTAGTGAGTAGAGCGCACATAAGCAAATGTTGAATGGATGAAGACCCCATTCCCAAAACACGAATCTATGCGACATCAGTTCCAGTGAAAGCTGCTGGAGCAGGGGAGGGGTAAGAGAGATGAAGTTGTGGCATCAATCAGTAATTTTTATTCTACTCAGTATATTATGCTCATTATCTCCCTAGAAATAGAAATGTAGAACTAGTTAACTACTCTAACCAAATGCTCAGCAGAAAAGTAAAGGTGTTTCCAAAATATAAAAGCTTGTTTTCTTTAAATATTTTATATCATCCTACTATATTCTTTTGAAGATTAATTTCAGTTTTGGAGTCATTAACTTTTGATTCATGTTTTAAACTTTAAAATAAAAACCGTTTGTTTTACACGTAGTGTGAGATTGTGAAATCGAGGCTTTTTAAAGGTTTGGACAATTCCATAGTTTAACGGCAGGAGTCATTTCTATGGTAAAGACATATCTCAAAACTACCACCAGGGGGCAGAAATATACATCTTCTGACCAGAAAACAACAAAGACGATTCTTATACTCAAATTTAGATAATTAGTAAATCTACGGATATTTACACATATATGAGTACATTACTATTCAATGGCGTTGTTGATCCTCTGAATACTACTGGAACATTAGCATGAACTGTACGTTTCATGCTGACTAAGGATTCTCAAGTATCTTAAAAAACTCCAAGAACTTACACCTGTTAATGTTGTCTTATGTCCCACATGAGCTAAGCGAAAACTTAACTAAATAAAAAATTTTACTGAGAGAAGTAGAAATAAATATAGGCTGAAACAATAGGAAAATAATTTACGTCATCATCCCAGAGCTTCCCCTGCTTTTAAAGAATAAGACAATATTTAAGGTACTTGAAAGGTATTGATCTGATAATTACTTTCAGATTTTGATAGAGTAGAATTTTACATCCTCTAATGGGACATTAGAGCACATTATTTAGAGATTGCTATTTGTCATTTAAAAATGCATCCTAAAAGGGTATTACAAAAGAAATGACATTGCTTACCCCAGCTGACTGAGGGCGGATGGCGGCATGTTATGTAGGTGCTGCTGTTGCCAGCCAGTTACTGACCCCAGATGAAGAGCGCTGGCGGTGTTAAAGCCAGACAGAGAGGACAGGTCTGCACTACTCAGAGAGTACTCTAGGTCAGAAACAAAACAACACGGGAAGGCATTCAATCTAGAGTGGTCAAATGGTGAAGAGAAGAAACATCTTCAATTAAAAAATATTTTTATTCATTTCAGAGAGGACGGGAGAGGGAGAGAGAGATAGAAACATTGAGAGAGAATCACTGATTGGCTGCCTCCTGCATGCCTCCTACTGGGGATCAAGCCCACAACCCAGGCATGTGCCCCTGGCTGGGACCCTTCAGTCCGCAGGCCAATGCTCTATCCACTGAGCCAAACCAGCTAGGGCAACATTTTCAATTTTAAAAGTATTCTCTTAGTAGTATTTAATGACTGTTATAAATTATTTTACTTTTTGGGTGGGGGGAGAAGGAGAAAAGCATAAGGGACAATTTTAATTTGAAAGAGATATACTAAAAAATAAAAGATATATATACTATATACCAAAAAATAAGCATTCCACGAAAGCTTCAAAGTAACAAAACTTGCAATTCTAGTTTATTAGAACTACAATGTGCTATTTCAGTATATACATATTTGATGATTTAGACACATTTTTAAATAATCATGAGAAAGTGAGCTATTACATTAAAGAAGTAACAGCTCATTTTCTTGAAATTGTTCTTCTATATTGACATCAGTTTGGGTTAATGAAACTTTCAGTCATTTAAAAAAATGTGAATATTCACTTTGTCTTAGTAAGTCAGAGGTAGTGATTTTAGTGCTCTGAACACCACAGGTAACAAAAAAAGCCTCCCAGTGAACTAAAAGGTAGTCTTTTTCATCTTGCTTTTTAATAAAAATGTATTTAATATACTATTTGAATGTGGCAAAGCTACTCACCGGTACCATATGTTGTTGAAATGGCTGATGGATATCCTCCCATCCCTTGTCCTGGTAAAGTAGGAGTTGCTACGGAAACCACTGGGGTAGCCAATGACTGAGCAGACTGGGAGTTATTTATCCTTTGATTCTTTTAAAGTAAATAAAAAGACATTAATGGTGGAATTTTTTAAAAAGTAAAAAAATATTAGATTTCAGTATTGGTTTTGCACATAAAGATCGAATTTGGTACAAATCTCATAAAATTAATCATTTAACATGTGTCTCTCTGAACTCTGCCAACCCTATCATTTACAACCCTTCAAGAGACAAGTTGTTGCCATAGAAACCCATTACATCAGTATCTCCTAGGCAACTGAACTAGTAACAAGTAGCATAGCTTTATTATGGGTAAAAACAGACTATGTTGAAAACTGGTGAAATATGTATACTGTACTTCCATTGTTTCAGTTTTTATTCAAATGCAAATTTAAAAAAATTTAAAATCAACCAAGGCGGTTTTATCTTTAGTTCTGCAGACAGCAGAGCAGACCGGTAGAGTTTCATGCTATATTCTGACCAGAAGGTGGTGCTCTGACCGCTTTTTTCAGATTCTTCTAAACTTCCCTCACAACTAGATGGCAAAGCAGCTAACATGTATATTTATTTAACTCCTTACAGCAAGGAGAGTAAATTATCACATAAATTTAAGCATCATGAGACTTACATTTCTTAGAAAAAGAAGTATCTTTGTGGTTTTAAATAACTGATTTCTGTGTGTGTGCTCGCGCGCGCATTTGCATTTTGCTATATACAAAATCCTAAAATAAATTGAAAACATGGCCTTCATTGGAGAGGTTGAGACAGAAGAATAACCTGACGTCCCTTTCCCCTGGGAGTGATATTTGAGATGAATAGTATCTAAATATAATCGATGTTGACCACGGTGATAACTTCTAAAACTTCCCCATTTTACAGGAGCTACTACTTCGCCTAAGCACCCCCCTGGATTTCTCCTTGCCCGTGCTACGTAAGGGAAGCTCTCTCACCACTTACCAAAAGCAGGTCGACATCCTCAGACTGAGAGCATGGGGAAGGAGTTTTATAAATTAGTGTCTGTAAATATTTATGATTGGGCAAAATCTTTTCAATACAGGAAAAAGCATCTTCTGATAGACCCAACAGTTTGAACAGTTCTCAAACCCAGACTCTAAAGATAACTCCTTACAAAGACATTCTTTGTTTCCCTTAATGAGCTGTTTGCGTCAAAAGTGAAGACAATCTATCCAGTTTTCAGCATAGGTCAGTGTCTCCACATTCATTATTTCACCATCAGATTTTGAAAAATAAAAAAATTAAAAGGATTGTCCTTTGAAACCCCATGCACGTGGCTGCCAGCCAGAGACCTGCCTGACCGACCACTCACAGGATCCCCGTGAAAGCATCAGGTTTATGGGACTTGGAATCAATCTGCCGATGGAGACAGCCGGCCATGCAGGGCCCACACTGCGCGGCTACGGCCCTGTGGAAGGCTTTATTTATTAGACCCAGTCTTTTCCTAAGGGAACGCTGCATATTATGTGATTTTTTTTGGTTGATATTCAAAATTAATCCGCACTGTGCCATAATAAACTAATCAGCTTGCAGGGCTGTTCTACCCTGAAGCTGGCCACAGAGCACAGAAAGAAAAATATGTGTTTGCAGAATGATCTAAAATTGTCTACTGAGTCTTCGTTTTAAATGTTCTCAGTCTTAAGCAAAGCTCCTTTGGAGAACACTCATGTAAGTCTCTTTGTTGTTGAATTTGGTCCTACCATATTATCTTCATCTTAGCTTAGCCCTGCAGACCCAGGAAAAACGGCAGAGTCCGGGGATATTATTTACATTTCTGTTTCTCATTCACTTCTTTATTCTTACAAGTGCCACAACTTTTTTTAATTTTTATTTTGTGAAATATAACCT